AACAGATTGCTGGCAGTAGCTTCGTGTTTACCACAGAGGAAGAAGAAAAATCCTTTGGATGCCATTGTCACCAGGCATTAACGCACATCGTTTAGATGCCTGCCTTCATAGAGGTTTAAACCTTGATCACCCAGCTGAAGGACAGTAGCTGTGATGCCAAATGTAACACGGTGGACAGCTTCATTCAGAGCAGCTCAATATGGTGAGTGCATACTTCTACCACATAATTGGCTCCAGTGGGATTGACTGAAACAACCTTCCAGCCTGACCCCTGATGACATGGCACAACCCAACCTACGCTCAGGCTAAATCACAGCCAGTAAGACCTATACTCTGCTTGTGAATTTACTGGGTGACAAAGCATGAGCAACTACAGTATAACAATGGATATCTAGAAGTAATTTTTCAAAAATGATACACAGAGATCTCTGGAAATTCAGGTACGTGCTATTAATGCAATCACCGGAACCAAAAGGGTATGGCAAAGAACCAGCATATGAATAGCATCATTTATCATTGCACAGTACAGGTCCAGGTGTATTAAATACAATTTTGGAGGGTGACCGCAGCGACGACCGATAACAAGATATTAAATCTCCTTTGTGATAAATCAATAGATTCTGAGGTCAGCGGGCTATCATTGCAGAGGGTACAATGGTTTTTTTCCCCATGTAGTTTAATGCTGTTTTCAGCAAAAATTAAAAGAGCCCCTCTGCACATGATATGTTTTGGACAAGTATGAGCACTTTGCACTCTCATCCATTTTTCTCCACCCATTTGGACACCACATGGTATCCACTATCTCACTGTTAAAATTTGACATCAGTGAGACGTGAACTAATTTATTTTCTCCTGATCTGAATGGACTGGCTCTGCTGTTGGACATTCATGGAGTATTTATAAAACATTTTTTTGCAAAAATACAAAGGAGGTCTTAGGTGTAATCTCCTGTCTGAATCTTTTTTCACAGGCTGTTTTCTAGCGATGTGTTGGTGTGGGCTGTCGTGTTCCTGCCACATCGCCGTATGAAACTGACCTCTGGCTAGACACACATGTGTCTTATGATATTTATATGGACGTGGCAGGTGTTGGCTTAAAGACTTTGTCAAGCTGTCAACTGAGTATGTGTGTGTCTCAAAGTAGAATAAGGTTGTAACACGACACCCATACACCCAGAGACATTTTTATTATATAGATGCACCTGTTCATCTGCCATTTAACACACATTTCTAATCAGCCAATCATGGCCGGAGGAATGAAAGTCTTTTTGCAACCATGGTTAATAGAAATTTGGTGGTCTTGAAATAGAATTAAGGTTTTCAGGCACTTCCACATTAGTTTTATTTTGAACTGTTTTGAACTGTCTATGGCAGCAGTTCCACCCATTTAGACATGTAGACATGGTCAAGATGACCTGCTGAAGTACAAACCGAGTATAAAAATGGGGAAGAAAGGTGATTTAAGTGACTTTGTTTGTGCTCAGAAACTGCTGATTTACTGGGATGTTCTTACAGAATCAACTCTTGGACAAAGTTCAGCATTTTTATTATAATCCTTGCACTGATTTTCCTAAATCTTGTCACTGGCATATGCTGTCAATAAGTTAATAATAATGAAAACTAAACATTTTGAAACTATAAAAAGCTGAAACAAGAAAATCCAGTCACTACACAAGTGTAATAACTCTAATACTTCTGATGGAAGGGTCAGAATTCTGTGGAAACAGTAATGATCCATGGATCAATCCTGCCTTATATCAATCATTCAGGCTGCTGCTGGTGGTTTAATGGGATGTTTCCTTGGCACGCTTTGGCTTTAGGCCCCAACAACTGAGCATCCTTTCATTGCCACAGCCTACGTAAGCATTAGGCACGTTAGTATTGTGCATCTAGCTTCTTATTACTACTTACAGCAGGGTAGTACACTATATTACAAACCCCAAAACAGTCACCAGATCTCAGCCCAATCGGGATGTGCTGGAACGGGAGGTTGGATGATACTATGTCAATGCGGACCAACATTTATGAGGAAAATTTATAACTTTTACACGAATTGCTTTGTTTTCAGCGTTACTATAGTGCAGCACAGTATGTGTTTGCTTGTCTCACCAGTGACTCAGAATCTCTGACTAAGAGTTATCACATATCCCCGAATAGAGTTCCAAGAAACACAGAAAACTTTAATTTCTCTTCCCCTCCTCCTCAACTGTCACTTTCTGTTTGCCCTTTCTCAGTCTTATCTTTTCCGTTTTCATTTTTCATTCCTCTCACTGTTCATATTTTTGCTCAGTAGATGTTTTTTTAACATGGTGAAAAATTAAACTACCTTGGTTTCCTTTGTAGTTCTTTTAGGTTTTTTTTGATCTATCTCAGCTCATTTCAGTCCACTTCCACAGCGTGCTGAAAACACAAGCAACTGCCAAACCAAAGCCAGAATCACTCCCACCTGCACACACACAAAACACACACGTGTGTGTGTATATATATATATATATATATATAT